TACGGAAAAAAAAAAAAAAAAAAATGATATCTGGATACAGCCAGGTGGAAGTGAGGGTGGTAGGGTTTTGGGTGTTTTGCTTTTTCGCTTTTTTATAGACTTTTTTTTAGAGCAGTTTTAGGTTCACAGCAGAATTGAGCAAAAGGTGCAGAGATTCCCATGTTCCTTCTTGCCCCACATGTGTATAGCCTCCCCCATTACCAAAATCTCCCAAGGGGTAGAGTTGTTTTCACTCCTGTCATTCACACTATTAACATTTTTTTAAATTGTTCCCTCCTTGTTACAAACTGGCAGCTGCCATAGTAAATATCGGAACATATCTTGTTTTCTCCTTAGCATGTTTATCTCTGCCTCCCAGGTGTTTCTGTTCTTACTAAAACCATAGAAGCTTCTCGTTCCATCACCTGGCACCACATACACAAAGCAGCCGGGAAAACATTTTAATTATTCCAGACCACAACACCTGAGGTACACTTCTGAGTAACTACTAAGAAGGAAGCTTTAGAGACGCATACAGGGAAACCAAAGGCTGAACTAGACTGAAACCTGAGGTGTTGGCCATAGCCAGTCACTGCAAAAACGGAGTCAGAACCTGGACTTCCTAATCCCAGTCCAGGCCTCTTTCTGCTGGGGGTGGGGTGGGGACTTTTGGGATGCTGTCACCTTTGAGGAATAGCATCTGATAATTCATTAATGAAACACACTTTGGAGGAGTAGAGGCCCATTGGTCGGGTCCCTCTGAGAACGAATCACTGCTCTAAGACAGAGTCCTGTGGGGAAGAGGCTGGGGTGTGTGTGTTGTGTGTGTGTGTGTGTACACGTGTAGGGGTGGGACAGGGTAGGCTGCATTTTCATAAGGATGATAACAGATCAAAGGACATATATTTTGCTCAAGCTCAGAAGTAGTTAGAAAGCAGAGTGGGCTGAGAACCAAGTACTGCATATGCTACTAACTTGCTGTGTGATCTTATGGAAATCACGTTTCTTCTCCGGGTCTCAGTTTCCCAGTCAATAAAGTATAAAGATTGCTTACAACCCTTGCAAAAATATGATTCTAGGAGAGATCTTGAAGGGAAGAAGGGGGCAGAGGGAGGAAAGGAGAAGGAGGTGATGGAGGGAAGAGGGGTGGAGAGAGATAGGAAATGTCTTTTAATCAGATAGTGGGAAAAAGTTGAAAATGAGACTGTGCGCCCCTTAAGGTCTTTATGCATTTTTAGTGTTTAGACATACGGAGTCATTTTTGGATAAACGTAGATTGAATGAATGGAAAGTCTGGGAAGGCTAACAGAGGAAAAGAGATAGGGGAGAAAAGAGAGGAAGCGAGCTCGGGAACACTCTGCGCGCCTGCTCTTCCTCGGCCTGTCCCCACTTAGGGGGCGGGACCTTCCAGCCACGGCCGCGTGGGCCATCGCGAGCTCCCACGCTCCTTCTCGCTTCCCCGTAAGCCGCCCCGAAACCGCCAGGGGGCGCTGCGCGGCGGCCGGGCCGGCCGGGGGCGGGGATGCTTTAAATCGCGGCGCCCAGCGGCTCGGCGTCTCAGTCCCGGCCCCGGAGTAGCCGCGGCTTCTCGCCTACCAACTCCAGCGCCAACCCGGACCCTGACCCAGAGCTTCTCCAGCGGCGACGCAGAGAGCAGGGCTCCCCGCAGTAACTTCCTCCGCGCAGCTCCGCCACCCCCGGGAGTCCCGGGGCGCACCTGCAAACTCCCGCTTGTGCCGGTGCGGGAGCCCGAGCGAGCCATGGCCAACGCGGGGCTGCAGCTGCTGGGCTTCATCCTGGCTTTCCTGGGCTGGATTGGCTCCATTGTCAGCACGGCGCTGCCCCAGTGGAGGATTTACTCCTACGCTGGCGACAACATCGTGACGGCCCAGGCCATCTACGAGGGGCTGTGGATGTCCTGCGTGTCGCAGAGCACCGGGCAGATCCAGTGCAAAATCTTCGACTCCTTGCTGAATCTGAACAGTGAGTGCACTCCCTACTCCCGCAGCTGTGACCCAGGGACCCAACCCCCCAGTGGCTCCGTTTTGGAGGAGTAGCTACCAAACGACCCTGTTGCGTGATTACATGTCTATCAACCTTCAGTGGATCAAGTCTTCTGATCACGTGCTCTGCCGTGAGGAAGTGAGAGAGACCTGTGGCTTGGGGAAGGGGAGGCCCAGGCCTAAGCTCTTGTTTTTCCTCTGACACCCTGGGTGATTCTAGGAGAGATCTTGAAGGGAAGAAGGGGGCAGAGGGAGGAAAGGAGAAGGAGGTGATGGAGGGAAGAGGGGTGGAGAGAGATAGGAAATGTCTTTTAATCAGATAGTGGGAAAAAGTTGAAAATGAGACTGTGCGCCCCTTAAGGTCTTTATGCATTTTTAGTGTTTAGACATACGGAGTCATTTTTGGATAAACGTAGATTGAATGAATGGAAAGTCTGGGAAGGCTAACAGAGGAAAAGAGATAGGGGAGAAAAGAGAGGAAGCGAGCTCGGGAACACTCTGCGCGCCTGCTCTTCCTCGGCGTGTGGTTTTCTGTAGGTGTGGTTTCATCTTACATGCCCACGACTGGGGTGGTGATGGAGCGAGTGAAGGCCAAACTCTAACTTGAGCTCTTAGGCCTCTCCTGGACATTCTCAGATTCTGTGAAAATTGAAGAACTGTAGAGTTGGGTCAAGAAAATGATATGCCTTGAAAAGTTTGGAGCCTGGTAGCTTCTCCAGTTTGTAAAATTAAATAGATAATCCCAAAGTTATTACATAGGATTTTTTTTTTCTCAATCTATCTTTACTGTGGGTTTTCATAGGAGAAATCACATTCCTACATGGAATGTCCCAACCTAATGTCTTCTACTCACTTGAGTTTGAATCTTTTGATTCTTTTGACTTTTAAGATCCAGTAAGTGTGAGGAAGCCCCTATGCATCCCCTGGCGTGACTCTCTTTTTTTTTTCAAATAAAGGAGCAATTTTAATTTTTTTTTTTTTATTTTGGTTGCTCCAGGTCTTAGTCTCTGCACAAGGGGTCTTCGTTGCGACATGCCGGCTCCTAGTTGTGGCATGAGGACTTTTAGTTGTGGCATGCATGTGGGATCTAGTTCCCTGACCAGGGATCGAACCCTGGCCCCCTGCGTTGGGACCGCAGAGTCTTACCCACTGGATGACCAGGGAAGTCCCTTGAAGAATCCTCTTAAGATTCTCTAGAGGGTTTAGCTTTCAGGCCAAGAGTGTTCAGAGGAGGCAGATTGTATAATGTTATTTTGGAAAGTGAAGGTGGGTGGCAGGTGGAAAGAGGATGACAACAAAGAGAAGTTCTAAATAACCTCCCTTCCTAATAGGAAGGGAAGAATGGAGCCACTGAAGACAAATGCCACAAAGGAGACACAGCTGATGAGCTCAGTGTTCAGGAGAGTGAGGGCGGGTCTTCTCTTGAGATTCTGCCTTCCACAAAGGAATTTCTGTGTAATGGATCTGGGCTTATTCTGTTGGCTTGGAAAGGATTATGTAGAGAGAAATAGTCCTAAAGATGGTGGAAAGACGACAGGAATTTTTTCCCTTCGTTTTTTTAAAAATGAAAGCTTTTGAGTGTCTTGTCAGAAACTCATTAAATTCCCACTTACTTAGGTAATAACAATTCATGGCTAGAGTATCTTCCTTGAGATATTACATTAGTTGTCCTGAACCTTGTGCCTGTCATGCACTTGGACTAACTTGAAGAAAAGCTTCCTTAGTCTTTGCCTAGACAGACAAGCCTGCCCACAAGTCCCCCTTGTGTGCTGATGGTAAGCAGTGTTGTCATCGCTCAACTTTACTTCAGTTGTTTTGTCCACCTCCTGCATGTGGTTTAGTCAAAAGCTATATACTTTAGAGTTGTTAAATCTGTGCCAAATCTGTTTAAACTGCTTGAGTACCTCTGGAATTTGGTGAGCCAGTGTACATACAGTAGTTTTTTTAGTGTTGTCATTTCAGCTTTTCAAAGTTACCGTACTAGGATTCTTTTATGCCAAACATAAGGAGTATATTAGGTACACACCTTTATATAATCATTGAATCTACCCATGGATGGATAAATACATGTAAGGAATTGTATCAGATGTGTCATGTTGAGGAATTGGCAGATTCCTTAGAATTCTTCTAAGGGCAATTCCAGAGAGGTCTCTGATTCCTCTGATCAAAATAGTTCATTTTCTACACGTTTAAATAGGTTTCCTGTTAACTGCCTTAAAGGACCAAATGAAATCAGATTGATCCATGTTGTCAATACTCAAACAGGTCATCCCTACTCATGATAATGTGTTAAAATGTTTTATTTTCATTTATTCCTAATTAGTATAGCTGTTACAGTTTTTAGAGCTGTGGCAGAAGATCTAAACAATACCTTCCCTCTACCCCATACACATTTTGGAGATTTCTTCCTGACGATTTTTTTTTAACTCCAGATCAGATTTCTTTTCATTTTCGTTAAAGCCAGAGTTTATTGAAGATGGGGCAGAGGCCTTTCTCTCAAAACTGATTCCCAGAAGGAAACTTGACTCACTTGTACCCTCTCCAACCTGCCAGTAACTAACTAGATATCTTTGGATGGAGGCCAGAGAACCTACCTGTCTCCGTTTCTCTACCTGGACAGCTGTGCTCACACCCACCTGATGTAGAGAGCTGGGGAGGTGATTCATTGGCTGGTTTTGGTATAGTTCTATGACATCTAGAGGTGAACAGGATTATCTGTACGTATAAGCAGTGTTCCTTGTAACAAGTTGTGTTCCACAAAGTGCTTTTGGGTAAAAAGCTTAGCTAGAAGTTTCTTGAAATTGTACCTTGTTCTTTTTGCCAGTGGAGCCCGTTTGGCAACTTAGGGCCGAGATTCCAGGATTTATCAAGGTTGTAGCACTAGATATGTTAAAATCCCTTATTCCCTTTCTCTAATTAGTTTCAGCTGTAAAAAGAACATGACAGTGTCTATAGGGATACAGTGTGCATAAGCCAATATACGAAAGGAGATGCAGCCAGGCTTCTTTAGGTGGTTCTTGCAAAGCAGTTTATGAAAATGTAACTGGGGAACTTCCTGGGGAAACAAATCTTATACCATGGATTCTGGTTTTACTATGGTTGAGACAGTTTCACTTCCATCTAAGTATGGATGTTTATTGACATTGATGACTGATAGTTGGAATATACAAAAAAGAGTGTCAGATAGAGTTGCAGTCGACTTTTCTTTATTAAACTGTACATCTTGCCTTGTTTTGATCCAGTTCTCAAACTTTTGGCAAGCTAGTGCCTATTTCATGTGCTTAGTTAATTGCTTCTTCTGGCTTGACTTTAATAGCTAGAGCTGTCCAAAGACTGGGTTGCCCCAGGAGGTTGCATGGTGGGAGGTGTGAAAGCAGAGGAATAAGTAAGCGTTTTGAAGGAATGTTGTAGGGA